ACACACACACACACACACACACACACACACACACACACACACACACACACACACACACGCACACACACACACACACAGAGCACGCACGCACGCACGCACGCATGCACGCACGCACGCACGCACGCACGCACGCACGCAGACCCAAGCACGCACGCAGACACACACACACAAGAAGAAGAAGCCTTGCTGTCTAGATCTTGAGGCACAGTCTTCGTCGAAATTTGAGCTTCTGGAGCTGCCTTCCGGGGCTTCTGTGGGCCCCCAGGGCCATCGGGGGACAAAAGACGTGCGTGGGGCACCTGCCGACAAGCCGGTTTCTCAGTTGGCGCGCCTACGGTTGCAAGAGAGGGAGGCCCCTCGAGGGCAAGAGAAGACCACGCCCGAGCCCCCAGCTGGGGCACGTTGAATCCTAACCTGCACGGAATCATGCGATGCGCTCTTGGCGACCAGCGATCAGCGAGAACGACGACGACGACGACGACGACGACGACGACGACGACGACGACGGAGACGACGACACGGACGGGCGCCAGCGGCGATGACGACGACGATCGACGATCTCGAGGCGATCGGCGCGCGATCCGTAGGCCCCCGGCAGCAGCCGCATCCAGAAGGGCTGCGCGCTCTTCGGGCCGCCTGCCCACGGCGGCCGGGGAGAAGGGGAGCAGAAAAGAGGGAGAACACGGGGGGCTCGGAAACCGAGTATCGTTCAACCGATCCCCATCTCCAGCGGCGTGGCCTGGGCCCCACTGGCCGAATTACCCCCCTGGACGGGGACATTGGCCGTTCCCTTCGGGTTTCGAGGGGTGCATCCCCAAGTCGGGTGGTAATTTGGCGGGGCTCCCGAAGGGGATGAGGATGTGGATGGGGGTCGGGTAAACGATACTGAGAAACATCTGGGTGGTCTTTGCAAGAAAAATCTAGGGTCATGAAGCCCGATTGTAGGGCCAAGAAACCGGCTTCGGCCAGAATCAGCCCAGGGGTAAGCCAGAGTCAACAGGATTCTGCCGTACTAGACGGGATCAGGCCGGATCAAACGGGACTGCATTATCAGCAAGTATTGGACCACGGATATACCGCTGCCGAAGCTGATGGACGGGTAGGGGGTGGGGACGGGAATTTCTGCTTGGTGTGTCGCCGTGGGGGCCCGGGCGACACGCTATGCTCTGCGAGCAGACAGCGTGCTGTTCCGCTCCGCGGGGCGGGAGGCTGCGAAAAGACAAGGACGTTGGCGCTCGGGGTCTGGCTTGGAGTGCCGCGCTAAGGCGCGGCGGGCCAGAGCTGGCAGAGCGGCACGCCGCGCAAAAATTCGTGACCGAACTGAGTGGGCTGCGTTCCCCGCTGCGACAAAAAAGGACCTCCCCCTCGCCCCTCCACCCCCCTCGCGTACGCCCCCCTCCAAAACCCCCCCGACGCTCCATCTTTTCGCCAGTCCCATGGACTGACTACCTACCAGACCACCCCAACCCAACCCGAAGACCCGAATTTCGGGTTGGGGGGGGGTAAGGGTTCCACATGTGTTTTTTCCATGTTTCCCGAACCCCCCCCCCCACTGGAAATCGAGGGTAAATCTGAGCCTTCGGGTTGAGTTGGGGTGGTTTGGTGGGTGGTGAGACACCGCGACCCCCCTTCCGCAGGAACCAGATCCTCGCCCTGGGCCGTGGTTCTGTTGGCACTGGGGCCCGAGCCGAGGCGGCCTCGGGGCGCTGGCGCACAGGGCCACCTCTGGGTAAGCTTGCCGAGCCGCCCACAAACCTCGAGGTGCACGAGCATCGTTTCTCAGACCCCTATCCCCGGCGGCGTGGGCTGGGCCCCGCCGGCCGATTTGCCCCCCCCTGGATGGGGATATGGGCCGTGCCCGTTTGGTTTCGAGGGTTTTTTTTTTCGGCGGTGGACAAACCTCCCTGTAGTAAACCTCCCCGTAGTGAAAACGGCCTGGGACCGAAACCGACGGACCTGGACCCGCAAAAACGACGGCCGCGACGCCCCCTCGCGAACCGAAAACGGCCAATTCCTTAATCGACGTGTCAGGGTGGGAGGTCTGTCCACCCCCGGACTTTGGTGGGGGTCTCAAAGGGGGTGGGGATGGGGATGGGGGTCGGTTAAACGATACTGAGGATAACCTCCGAACCTCGAGGTCTCACAACGGCCGCGCCTCGCGGGAGCCCAGAGGTCCCGGCCGACGGCCAGCGCGGGGGCCCCGTCTGGCCAGCGGAGGCGGACGACAGTGACATGCCCGCTCGGCGCGCCGCCGTCGCAGTCGCTCCTCCTCCTCCTCCTCCTCCTCCTCTCCTCCTCCTCCTCCTCCTCCTCCTCATCCTCCTCCTCCTTCCTCCTCCTTCCTCCTCCTCCCCTCTCCCCCATCCTCTCCTCCTCCTCCTCCTCCTCCTCCTCCTCCTCCTCCTCCTCCTCCTCCTCCTTCTCCTCCTCCTCCTCTTGGAACGTCTGCGCAACTCCAAGAGTCTCCGGCACTGCAAGCGCGCGCGCGCGCCCCTGTGCCCGCGCGACCTACTGGCGGAGGACATGCCTACCGGCTGCCCGAAGCCTGTGGATCGACAGTCACCACGAGCGCTTTGCGTGGAAGCACTACAAAAAGGGAACCATCATCGGTTCTGCCATAGCCAGTGTCACCAGCAGGACTGTCTGAAGTAGGGGATAAGTGCAATTGCAAAGACACTCGCCCAAAACGCACTGCAAAGCCATCGGTGCTGCGAAAGCTCAATCATCACCAACTGAGATGTTCGGTTCCTGCTGCTGCGATCCAACTGGGTCGCGTTTCGCTCCTTTTCTGAACGCGACCTCCGTCGCGTCGATGGCAAGGCACCACTTGGAGGGGCAATGATACGAGGAAGTACCAGCTCAGGGGAGGAAACATGGAAGTGGCATCGAAGATACATCGCCGATACGTGTGCGACGGCCTCCGATGACGAAACCGCGCGCGCCTGGGCGTGGTGGGTCATCGGGCCCCTACTCGGCGATCAATGGGAGATTGGAGGTCGATGCTTCCCCACATGAGTCTGGAGCGCGTTTCTCTATCATCGGCGATGACGGGCGTCATGGGGGGGGGGCGGTGGGGGGTATGACGTAACGCCCCCCCCCCCGCCGTGCGGCTCGGGCAGCACAGCCGCGCCAGCGCGCACGACGACGACGACGACGACGACGACGACGACGACGACGACGACGCGAGGACGCGAGCAGCATGTAGGTGGCGATCTGCCCCACAGCGCCTGTGTACACCATAGCGCTCGCGTGCAATACAGCGCTTGTGTACACCGCAGCGCCTGCGTACA